GCCCCCTCATACACCCCGCATCCCCCCTCTGCCCCAATCCCTTGCCCTGAGACCCTTCTTGTAGACCGTACCCCCTCCCACACCCCGCACTCCCTCCCGCACCCCAACCCCCTGCCCCGGCGCTGCAAACAATTTCCCCACCCAGATGTGGCCCTCAGCCCAAAAAGTTTGCCCACCGCTGCTCTAAGAGCTACCCTCTTATGAATCCCATTTTCTTTTAGTAGGGCAGTAAGTCTGATTGAAATGAATGGGTCTGTGTATTTGAAAACCATCACATTCAAGAAGAATTAGGAGAAATCCTACAAATATGTTTAATTACCATCAATTTCATAGTTATCTGTGAAGGGGCACAATCAGAGCAATCCGTGCCTCATAACACAGAGCGATCTAGCTATACACACAAACCTTGCAGGAAACGTTCCTGCATAGCCTTCAGGAACTGTGAAAGATACATAGACCCTCAGGATGTCTCATCTAAATGGAATTCCTTGCTACCCTTTCAAAAAAAAACCAGCGTCTGACCCGCAACAGGCCACAAAGGACTTTCTGCTAAAGAAATGATGTTGCCTTATCCTATTATGGGCAGATCTCAGAGGTCGAGAATAGTTCTCATCGCCAGAATCAGAGGTTGCTGTATTCATCAGTTCTTTCCCAATTGATGCCTGCAGGACCCACTTGTGATGTTGGCAATTCAGTATGCATCACTCTTCTCTTTGAATGAGTTTGCACTTAGCTTTTGCCCCAGCTGCGGCCTTTCAGATACAGTGTGAAACAAATGTCCTGACCACTTGTCATTAAAAATACCATGGGAATTACAAAAATAGGGATGGAATCCTTGGAATCCTGGCCAAATTCCAGCCAGAGAAGTTCTAAGATATTCTGCTTACCTAAATTCTTGATTTCCTGTCTTAACTGATGTGCAGTAGTTGTTAGTTACTACAGTTCCTTCCAGAGGTGGTTAAGGAAGAAGTGAGCCTTGTATGTAGTTCGTAGTTCAGATTAAGTGTGTTGAGATGCTTCAGGATACAAAGATTTAGAGGCAACATTTTCAAAAACACTTCAGCGCCTGAGATTTAGAGATTTCAAACGTGATTTAGGCACTCTATTAGCTTGAGACTACTAAATGTCTAGGTCATTTTTGAACATGGGACTTAAGTTCCTGATTCAATTAGATGCGTTTGAAAAATGTAACCCTGTACTACTTTATATTGGGACAGATTCTGATACTCTTGTTGAATACTGCCTTACTCCACAAACGGTCTAATTGAAGTCAATGAGACCAGTTGTAGAGTAAGGCACTATTCAATGTGAGTAAAATGTTCACAAATGGGACCTACATTATTATTTCATTTTCAGGCTCCTTTTGCAAGCACTTCAGCATTTTAGCTCAAGTAGTTAGTAATGGGTTTAGAAAAATAAAAACAAACAGCACTGTGCAGTCCTGCACACACTCATGTGAGTAGTCCCATTGAATTTGCAAGCTCAGGGTGCAAAAGAAGTATGACTGATGCTGGTATAAGTGCACCTTTGTATATAAATATTACCTATCTGTTTTGCTTACATTAGATTGCCCCTTCCAAGGTGATATTTTTCCTTCTCAGTTAAGAGACATGACCAATACAGCATGGGCGTTCGCTTTGTTTTAAAAGATTAAAATCTCCTTTCTACTCATGTTCTATTTATACGCAGTGCTGCGTTAGTTAAATATCAGTTTCTGATATTTACACACACATTGTAAACATTAGGTTAAACTGAACCCTGCTGTAACTCCACTGAAGTCAATAGTTTACACCGGGGGCATATATGATTGTTAATCCCATAACTCAATCATTTGACATTTAAAGCAGCAGAAAAATTAGTGCACAAGCTTCAAGGTCATATAGTTTTAAAAATTGCTTTAAATTGGTTCAGAAAAGCTTTTTGGTGCCCTCCTTAACTGCAAATATACTTCAGAAAGGAGTATTCCAGATTGTTAGTTGGAAATGTGTAGACTAAACCCTTCTGGTGTATTATTATGGAGGACTCCAGCTGAGACAGTTAGCTTACAAAAGCAGCTACACCTACGCCATATGTTTCATAGCTACTTTTCATAATGCCTCTAAGGCAAATTGCATTCCATAGGTAGCAAACATCAGGCAAAGAGAAACAGATTATTTTCATTTAGACACTTTGGGCCAGACTCTCAGCTGGAGGTACTCTGACTAACATCAGCTGCGGTTCTGGCCTTTTTATGGAGAAAGTGAATACTTTTGCATTGCAAAACTTTTCCCAATTCTCTGGAGCATTATTACTTTGTGAAGGTTACAGAACAGTGAAAGAGGGAGAATTCCATCATGAGCTTTCGCTTAAGGCAAAAACTTGTGAAACTGTAATAGTTAGAACATGCTATCTTCCCCCTTAAGCTTTTCCGATAAAGCTGCCCAAATTGACCCAATTCACTTCCATTAGGTGGTAGAAAAACGTTGTGTAAGGCTGGTTAAAAAACCCCAGTGTTGTCATATCCCTCAGTACTGGATTCTGTGCTTACTGAAGTCAGTGGAGTAGAATTGGGCCCTGATTTGTATAAGGCCAGTGGTGGTGATGTAGCTCCATTGGTTACCTGCACCAAACCAGCCTCATCAGTAGCCCTCAGCCAAGCTTCATACTAAAATCATTAGCTATGGTACTATAAGAAAAGATACATGTTGAGTACTACTTGCTATATTTTTACTACAACCAAATGTGAGAAAGTAAATGGGGAAATGCCATGGGACTAGCCTTGTAGTGTTTCTAGATCATACAAGAAAAGCAATCAGCCAAATATGGAGATAGCTATTGGGTGGATTTTAGACACACACAGAGCATAGGGTTGCCAGGTGTCCATTTTTGACTGGAATGCCCCATCGAAAAGGGACCCTGGCGACTCCAATCAGCACCACTGACCGGGCCGTTAAACGTCCAGTCAGCGGCGCAGCAGGGCTAAAGCAGGCTCCCCACGTGCTGTGGCTCCGTGTGGCTCCCGGAAGCAGCGGCATGTCCCCCCTCCAGTTCCTATGTGTAGGAGCAGCCAGGGGGCTCTGTGCGCTGCCCACACTCGAAGCCCTCTCACACACCCCCACACCCTAACCCGCTGCACCAGCCCGGTGAAATTGAGCAAGTGAGGGAGGGAGAGCCAGCAATGGGGGGGATGAAGTGAGGGGGGGGGCTCAGAAAAGGGATTGGGCAGGGGCCTCAGAGAAGGGGCGGGGCACGGGTGTTTGGTTTTGTGCGAGTAGAAAGTTGGCAACCCTAACACAGCCTCCCCCCCCCCACTGACAGTTAGATTGAAGATCCAGGTTGTATTTGAAACACACTAACAGTGCAATCTTCCCAAACAATACAAGCTATTTATTACATATGCACTGACTGACCTATATTGCTACTGTTTAATTAGCATGGGATTATTCTATGGTTCCAATGCAATGTAAATGAAAAGGATCACCAGAAACACTCCCTTCTGCAGACAACCAGAGGAAGAGAGCTCTTCTGTAATTACAGCACTTAGGGCTCATCTTCACTACCAGGGAGATCGACACTGCTGCAATCGACCGATTTAGCAGGTCTAGCGAAGACCCACTAAATCGACAGCAGAGCGCTCTGTGGCTGACTCCGGTACTCCTGCTCCCCAAGAAGAGTAAGGGAAGTCGACCGGAGAGCATCTCCCGTCAACACAGTACAGTGAAGACACTGGGGTAAGTCGACCTACGCTATGTCAACTCCAGCTACATTATTCATGTACCTGGAGTAGTGTAACTTAGGTCGACTTAACCTGTAGTGAAGACAAGCCCTAAGACTAGAAAATGATGAGGTTATGGTTTGTGTATAAATAAAAACTGCTCATTTTTTCTGGGTGCTTCATCCTTATAGTAGCCATTTGATTGTCCTTCTTGATTTTACAGTGAAAATTCCAACTGTGCTAAACAATGTTATCTCAGCTAGGTCGGAAAGTCACTGTCTCATATCCCATCACAACATTTCCAAACTTTATTCGACTATTTTGCTATAATTCAGTGGGATTTGGGTGCCTACTTTCATTAGCTCCTTTGAAAATCCCAGCCTACATCAACGAATCAGTCTGAGCTGATCTTGCTAAAATAAAAAAAAAAGAGTGAGAGAGAGAAAATCAAGCCATAGAGAACCACAGAATTTCTCCATTATGTCCTCAAAGCATATTCCAGACACAGATTATCACTGGTAAACAACAAAAGCAACAGGGGGGAAACCCTTGTCATGTCATTAGGCTTCTAGAGTGTATGTAAAGCAATATAATAACAAACATTCTCAGCTAGTCCTGATAGTTCTAGGTGTCGTTATCCCTTCCTAGAATTTAGGGAAAAAATTAACAAATGCCTTGTTAAGGAATCAAAATGGACACTAAAGGCCTGTCATCAAAATAATCCACATGTGATTTCAATCCCCAACATCATGGTGTTGAATGACAGCTTTTGGCTTTATGACAGTTTTAATTAGAGTTTATGGCTACTCGATAAAGCAAAATTCAGTGCGAAGAGTATAGTAAAACTGCATCCGAAGAAGTGAGGTTTTTACCCACAAAAGCTTATGCCCAAATAAATCTGTTAGTCTTTAAGGTGCCACCAGACTCCTTGTTGTTTTAGTAAAACTCTGTTACATAACTCCTCTTCATCTTCAGGAAGTACAGAATTATTTAATTGGACAGCTCACTTTCTTTATCTATATTAGTTGGAGAACATATGTAGCTAGGTTACGTGCCCCTTCTTCATTGTGCCCCTCGTAGAATTATGCATAATTTTTCATTATTATTATTAACTTTCTATCAATAATATAATGTTCTTAAATCATTTTAATGATTCCAAAACACATGCAATTTGCAATGAAATTCTAACCTAATGATTCTTGTAATTCTTTATTGGCTTTATCATGTAATTATTTTGCTTGAGACTGTCAATTGTAAAATGTGGTGACTATTTTGTTACTAACTCCAATATGTTCTCTCTTTTCAGAGAGCAGACATAGCTGTTGCTCCACTCACTATAACGTTGGTACGAGAAGAAGTCATAGACTTTTCAAAACCTTTTATGAGTCTGGGCATCTCCATCATGATCAAGAAGCCTCAGAAATCTAAACCTGGCGTATTTTCCTTTCTGGATCCTTTGGCTTATGAAATTTGGATGTGTATAGTCTTTGCTTACATTGGAGTCAGCGTAGTTCTTTTCCTAGTCAGCAGATTCAGTCCTTATGAATGGCATTTGGAAGACAACAATGAAGAACCGCGTGACCCCCAGAACCCTCCTGACCCTCCAAATGAGTTTGGAATATTTAACAGCCTTTGGTTTTCCCTGGGTGCCTTTATGCAGCAAGGATGCGATATTTCTCCAAGGTTTGTTCCATATCACTCCATCACCTTTTTGCATTTTATGGTCATATGCTGATGCCATGGTGCATATATGTTACTTTCTCAATTTTTTCAGTTCCAAATTTTTTGTTTAACATTCCATCCAATGCTAAGCTTCATCATCAAACCACTACGCTTATTCACCTAGTAAGTGTATGAGTGGCGTTGCCTTTAATGCCATTCATGCATTTCTGCAAAAACTTATATACACCATGTTGAGACTGTAAAATGCATAGGGTTTTACATTTTCAGCAATGCTTGGAGGGCTACCGTGTTTTTGCTGCATATCTCATTTTACGGTCATCTGCTTGGTGCATATAACATATTTATTTTGCTATGCAAAATAAGAACTGCTTCGAAAACCACATGCAACAGCACTTTAAAACACCTCCATGCCAGTCTCAACTTATGCTGACCTTTTAATTTTCCTTCGAGCTTTAGTTTTCTATGTGTTTCCATTGCACCATCCAGTCATCCATTACTAATTTGTTTACTATCACATTCATATATTCATTTCTCCATATGTACATCTCTAAGAGTTGTTATGTATTGTACTGTATGTGCATCATTATGTAAATCTAGTCTTGTCTGATCTCCTTGTGTTCATAGTCAATGTGGCCTTTTAATAAGTGTTGCCAGTTTTCATAAAATTACTTTTTTTCATGCAAATAGTCTTTCTGAATAAGCCGTTAGGAAAACAGATTTGATGTTAGCTCTGTTTTAATACACAATACTGATATTAAGTAGAATTTGATTGCTTTTTAAAGAAAAATTTACAAAGCACTGGAGAGTGCTCAAGTTCTCTTGATTGAACAATGCGTACTTCAAAATGTTTTTTAAATAACATAGTAAAAATGTTTCTATGCATACATCATTAAAATATATTGGTGACGTCTATGATAAGCACTAAATCTACATAGCTTTATAGTAATGGACCTTAACTGGTTTGTATAATAATATTTTTAAAGTCAGTTTATAGCTACCATAATTATAAAAAAAAGACTCATTTAGTACAAACAATATGCCCTTTCCTCTTTAACAAAGTTGTGAACATATATTACCTTAGGGAACCAAATGATTTCTCAATAAGCACTCATATTCAAAACAAATAGAGCCCATTTCCACATGCTTTCTGTGCCCCTCTCAATGTGCAGATAATACCTAAGTCTTTGACAAATTACCAGACTTTCATAGCCTATATAAAAAGAGAAATCTTGGGTGTAATCCTAGCCCTGTTGAAGTCAAGGGCAAAAGTTCCATTGACTTAAAAGGGCCTGGATTTCATCGCTTATAATCTAGAGTTGATCCTGACCCTGCACTCCTTTCACACCCAAATCTCCTATTAATTTCATTAGGGATTTAGGACATGTAAGGAGTGTCGAACTAGATGTGTTATATTTGAAAGCTTGCAATTTCTATTGTTTAGCAGTGAAGAAAGAGAAGTTGATTACTGTGATTAAATTTTTTTTAAATTACATGCACAACACATTTTCCTAAATATGTGCATACATTAATGTTAGCAAGAAATCTGTTAAATGAGTAAGTGTTCCAATGTGCTACCAGATTGTATATCTATAGCTTTTAGCCTGTTCCTCATGTTTATGCACAATATTTATGGTTTAGTCCCAAAATCTGTACCAAAACTATGCCCCTTTGCTTGCTGTTAAAGATACGGAGCAGTGATAACATTTAAATTGCTGTTGACCATGTGTTTGCCCAATTTAAAGGACCGGGAAATAAGCACTGGGACATCACATGGAAAGCTGCAGGCATTATGCTGTTTCCACTAGACCTGTTTATTGACAGTAAAGAGAAGTGCATAGGGGTTTTTTTTGTTAAGCTCTCATGTGACTATTTGACCTGTTCGGCCTTGTATATTTTGCATAATGAATTGAATATATTCTATCTTTATCAATGCCACAATTATAGGTGACTTGGAAATACCAACTATACAGAGGTGACAGTAAATATGTCCTGCCATAACTTTAAACTTAATATTAATACATGAAACATCCATTAATACATGAAACATCCATTTAAGGCCCGGCTTGACAAAGCGCTGGCTGGGATGATTTAGTTGGGAATTGAGCTTTGAGCAGGGGGTTGGACTAGATGACCTCTTGAGGTCCCTTCCAACCCTGATATTCTATGATTCTATGATTGAAGACATCGTTCCGTTGTTTTGTTATCTTTAACGATAACAGAAGGCCAGACAGTTAGAGTTTTTACGAAAAAAATGTACAATGTTTTAAGGTCCAGAAACACTGTTACTTTGAGCATTGAGCTGATTTAATGTCTAGCTTATTTTCCGTAGAAAAGGACTATTCCCAAGCATTCCATTTTGAATCCATACCTTTGTCAGGAAGAAACATAATTCATAACACATTGATTATATTGAATGTTTCATAATATTTTATTGGCATTAAAAGGGATTCATTCTTCCATTGTGAGTTTGCCTGAATACATTTCTTGTGTGAGAGTGTACAGCACTTTTAGAGAGATGCCGACAAGCATTCTGGAGAGATCACTTTTGTGCTTCCTGATAAAGGCTCTTTCAGCTACCTTTGTGTGGAATAACTGTGACATCTCTTGGCTAGTTAGATCTATGATGGGTGAGTATTTTTTGTGGATATTCCAGAGGATATATCCCTATACTCTACTCTCTGTGTGTAATAGGATTTGTCTAACCTGAATCAGATAACAGCTACTCGCTGTGTTCAGTACATCCCTCTATGGAATCAACATTTGTTCCAGCTGTTTTGTTCTGCTATCAAAGACTACTGTGTTATCAGCATAGTGAGCTAAAGTATTGAGAATCCACTCGTGGAGGTTCAGACATAGATTACCTAAATGGAGAATCTACACAGCAAACGAAAAGTCACACAAAGCACCGTCAAATTCGTAACTTGTTTTGAGCAAAACCGTTTCCTTGCAGGTTCTACGAATCAATGTCAAGGTTTTTTGTTCAAAAGTATTGCATGAGTCTGGTAGGTTAAGGCCGTTGAGTTCCAGGGACCTATTTCTTCCACTGTTAAAACCAAGTGACTCCTCCTAAAGGCATTGGAGTTACTTATAGTGAGATTTTCAAAAGCATGTAGGCATGTAACGCCCATGGAGTTTCTGTGGCGGGAGAATGGGAGTCAGAACTGTTATTGTAATCCTTCATCAGCTGGGGTTTGGGTCATGTGGTCAAGTCCTGTGCAAGCTTCTACCTCATGCAGCTCTATCACACTCAGTGAGCTTGCTGGTGATGTAAGTGCAGAACTCGGCTCACAGTTTAGCATATAGCAGATTACATGTACACTTGAAAGAAAAAGTGGCGGTAGAGATTCAGATTTTTCCCTGAGGAAGTTCAGTGTTTTCCAGCCAGACTTGCTCGTTCTTATATTTTATTAATCTTTTATTGGTAAGAAGAGGCCAATTAAAAATGGATGTCTGCAAAGCCAAATTTTTCTTATAATTTTTATAGGAAATAATACACATTTTTGTGTTCAAGAGTAGAGGAAAAATTCAGGTGCTTTTGATTATAGATAAGAATTTGTTTCTGTATATTACTGTTCTGCAAAGTGAATGCAACTTTTACATAATAATGTTGTGTTTTTCTCTTGTTGCTAATTTGCTCTCATTTAACTCCATGCTTCCTTTCAAATTTCCTCTCAAGGTATGCTCACTTTCTGTTTACTTCCCTTTCAAAGCACCTCCTGAAACCCTATATTGATAATGCTGTTGTTCAATTGCCATGTCTTTGTCTCAAGCTCAGTATGAATTAGTTAATACCAAAAAAAATCATTTAAAATGAATGTTGTACAGTTTGCCGACTCACTGAGGAAATGTGCATTTTATAAAACATCAAAGGTTGCTTATATTTTTTAAACAAGAGCTTTTTAAACAGCAACGTTGCACACCTTGTACAGGTGTGACCTCTCTACAATGGTTCTTGTAGGTGTTTTAAGTTGTAATCCTTTTCTCTGTAATTGTTATCTGAGTAATGGACAATAAGTTATGTGACAGCTCAAGTAAAATTATAAGTAATCTCTTATTATCAGCCTGATTTAAATTCAGAGTTTACATGCTAACCCTATTTTCCCTCAGCCCTCTGCACCAGCCCATGCAGTGAGTATAAGGAGCCTTCATATCAGCAGATGGAGTTGGGAGGGAAAAGTCCTGTGATGTTATTTTCCCGACAAAAGAGGCTGGCAGTCCCTGCCCAGTTGCATTCTAGCTCTTTGGCTGGCTGGGCTAGACATTGGCTTTCCATCTTTACTTTCCACAGAGATTTTTTTTCCAACCCGTCCAAATCACCACGTGTAGCTACTTTAATGTAGGTTGCTTCAGAGTGGTGGGTGTTTAATTTTTCTCTGCATGCTCTCTGGAGGAAACAGCTCTATGGTTTCATCCAGCTTTTTCTGAAATGAGCTCAGCTGTTGGAGTGAACAGAAGCTCATTCCAGATTTAACAGAATTAGATCAGAGAACTGGAGAACTAACCTGTTCCTCATCCTCCAAGAATCATCTCTTGCACTTCACATCCCTCAGGAAATCCCATCTCTTTGAGCAATCTCTCCTCCCTTCATCTCATCACTATCTCAATGCCCAGATTCTCCAGCCCTGGAACTGTCATCAGGTATTTTATCTTGTGTCTGTTTGTCTTGTTTTTTATCATTATAAGCACTTTAGGACAAGAACCGCTTACCTTTCTGGGTGTGTACAGAGCTGTATAAATTATTATAGCATCCTATGGCTCTGTGGTTTCACTGTTCCTGTATTGCTTGCCTTTCTCACTGGTAGCCCAAACCTGGAGTCACTAGAGAAATATCAGTAACATCTCCTGCAGCAGGCTCATGTTGGATTTGTTGTACTTTCTTGTCAAAGGGCCCAGGTTGGTTCTTCTTAACCTGGTTCTGACAAGTCCCAACTTCCTTTTGGGTAGTGCTCAACCCTGGGGCTTCCTTGGTGGATGTGCTGAGCTTTTTTTATTTTTATTTTGGCAGCTTGTAATCTGAACTCAAAGCTCTGCCCTCCCTTAGCCACATAGGATATCATCCTATTGCTAACAGGCACTCGCTTTATTTCTCCGAGGTACATCTTAGACAAATTCCTCAGACTGCTCCATTACATTGGCTTGACACAGATGTAACTAATCTCTAAAGCTGCCTTTTTAGTGAGCTTCTGTTTGGGCAGACGGGGGCTGGAGCTTCAAGCTCTTTCACTGCTCGTGTTATCAGAACGAGGTAGTGATCAAGTCTGTTCCCCACCTCTCCTAATTCTGTGTGGGTGCCTGCGAGGAGAAAAAAAAGACTCCTCATGAACTTACTGCAAAGAGCTTTTCTTATGGACTCTACAGGAGAACTGAAATTTAGAAAGTCAAGTCACCTATTTATCCTTTTGGGAGGCCCCAAGGAAAGCTTGACAACCTCTGTGCTTTGTGTGTCTTATTGAGCGTGAGACTGCATTAAGAAAGCTTATGCTGTCCAAAACACTGAAGGTTTCTGTCATAGCTCAGGCCTTGAAAGCCATCTCTTCCTCATGGGCAAAGAGGCAATACTTCCCTTCTAGAGCTGAGCAATGTGGCTGCCTGAACAGCCTTACATACTCTTTCACATCATTACAGACTTGATGAAGTGGCCTCTGCAGATATTGACTTCAGCAGATGAGTGAGGGGAGCTATAATCCATCAGTTTCGCAGTATCTTTGGATACCAGCCCACGGCTCTTCTTGCAGTGGGATTTGCTGTTGATATTCCCTGGGCTAGAGATATACTGGATAATCGCAACTTCATACCTGTTAGTGTGATTTCTCCATGTCCCTCTAACCCAACCCAAATTTCCAACTCTGCTTCTGTTGTTTTGGCAGTATTTTTATGGATGTGTATTTTGATGTTGGGTTTTCTTAGAACTGAATAGAATTTTTATTACTCACGAATCCCCTCAGTGGGCAATGCCAGCCAACCCCCGCTTTATGAGGTATGGGGTAGGGCTATAGCACAAGAATATTGCCTTTTTCTCATCTCTATCTGTTGGTAGGTGAACTTGTACCCACTGCCTGGGGGTGGCACAGAGGGCCTTGAAGGAACCCAATAATCAGAATTTCTCATTTTCTCTGCATCAAGGGCAAGAATGGTCTGTCTGCTATAAACCCTACTGCTGAAATTGTCTATTTCTTTATCACTGCAAAAGATTGGTGTCTACTGACACTTTTTCTTGGATACACCATGTAAATAATCATTAGCAATTACAGGTATAAAATTAATTATATATGGTAGGGTCCAAATCATAAAAATAAATATTCTTAGGGATTTTTATATGTCATGCTTTTAAAAAATATGAAAACTTTAGGTTGTAGGGGGGGCTTGGTTTTGATTCTTTCCCCCCACCCCTCTTCTATTCAAAATAGACACTTTTCCTTGTTTATAATACTGAGAGGAAAGAACCCTTAGCTGTAAATGTTTGGTAGAACATTTCTGTACACATAAATAACAGACCAAAAAAAAAAGAACATTATTAAGTTTGCGAAGTCAAGAACTCAAAAGTTAGGAAATGCCAGAATTATGGTTGCCAGTGCATGTAAAGTTCCTCGTTTCCTCTATTCCACATAAAACCGAGGATCATTTTCAGAGCAGAAGAGATACAGGTTTGACAACAGGCATTTAGCCACAAAACCCTGTACTGGTGCATTATTAGTCAAACAAACATATCAATGGCTAATTCCTCAATGTGTGGTGAGTGCACTGTTCCAAAAGTAAAATATACTGCAAGTGTCCCAAATAGGGCTCTGTTTTTCAATCATTTCTAGTGAATTTGTGATGTAAATTTTGGGCTACAGAATGAAGGTCATGGACTTTAATATATTTGGGACCTGATTCTGCTTCCACTGAAATCAGCGAGAACTAGAACAAGGAGTTGAATAGATAATTTTGTACCAATCTTCTGCAGTGTTACTGATCACAGTGTCATTGATCAGCAGGTGCTGACCTTTAAGTATGCACATAGTCTAATTGACTTCAGTGAAACTACTCACATGCTTAAGTGCATTGCTAGACTGGCACTAGAGTGCTCAGTACTTTGTGTGACTATGCCCTAAAATTGGGGTTTTGCTTGAAGAAGGAGTACAGGATTGGGTCCTAGACAAGCATTTAGGCCCTTATGCTCAGTTAAGATCCCTACACTCTTTTATACCAACTGAGAACTGGCCTTTTATTTTACAATTTTTTTTTCTTTTGCATTTTTAAAAAAGCTAAGGGAAAAAACAGGCAGTGATTAGATTTTTCACCTCACTCCTGTGCTGCTTTGGTGGTGTGGGCTGAGATGGGAACGTGGCAGACCCAAATTATTAAATAGTAACATGCATCGTTTGGAAAAGTGGGTTTTAGACATGCACATTTTAATTAACATAAAATATACCAGAATGTTTCCTCATTCTAATGGGTAGGATTCAGACTCCCTTAATTCCCATTGTGCCATGGTATGAGCAGACCTCATACTGCTCCCTTAGAGTAACTCCCCTTGTGCAGGCCTCAGTGGGGAGTTTATTTATCTCCAAGTCTTGCATGTAATCAGCTAGCCTAGAGCATTGGATGGGACTTTTCTACCCACTACCTATCATTGATCTTCTGCAGAATGAGTAGGGAGGTGCGGGAGTGGGAGGGTTCCTGTGTTCACCAATCTTCTGCTTCCATTGGTCAACTACTGTTGACCTATTCCTGGCCCCTCCAATCCCCATAGATGCCTTCCTTCATCTACTTTCAGTGTCTGACTTCTGGAACTGAAGTGCCTGCTTCAGGTTCTGGTTCTTTTAAAATGCATACCCAGGATATGCCGGGCAGTAATAACTGCATCAATTTCTCCTTATAAATAAATTACAAATTACCTTATTTATACCATGTTACACCTGCGTATTTTACACAATAATTACACACTACACATCCAATTAACTTTTGAAACACCCTGCACATCACCTTACTCATTCCTTTCTCGGGACAAAACTCATAACTAGGTTTTGCAAGGACCAAGCAAGAAGTGCACAAATAGAGTCTTCAAGCATTAGTTGCATCATCCTCGGCTTTATTGCTGAAACTTTTCTCTGTCAACTTCTGGCCTCATTAAAAATTAATTTAAGGCCAAAATTTCAAGAAAGTGCTTTGATCTGTGTCTATACAATTTGTACATGTCCCCACTTGCACAGATATGTAGGAACGCATGCACTTAGTCTCAGATCTGCCAAGACTTATGTCTGTACTAACAGTGCGTAAAATTAAGTCATCCCATTGAAATCCTGTTTAAGTCTTGGCAGGATCAGGGCCTTAGAGACAACTCTTGGGCTCTGTATTCAGTTTTCACTCAATCAGTGAAACTTCTCCTAAGTAATCCCTGGGTAAGGATGTCCGGAGTTGGCTTATGATCATCCGTTTTATGTGCACAAGAAAAATCTGCAAATATGGATTTTTGTACACCAAAAGAGTTGTGCATGCAAACCTTACAGGCCCAGTTTAGGATGTTGCTTCCCTTCTAGAAGACAAACACAGAATGGATTAACAATTTTGACCCTGTCTGTTTTACCATAGGTCTCTCTCAGGACGAATTGTCGGAGGAGTCTGGTGGTTCTTCACACTCATCATCATCTCTTCTTACACTGCCAATCTTGCTGCCTTCCTTACTGTGGAAAGGATGGTCTCTCCCATAGAAAGTGCAGAGGATCTGGCGAAGCAAACTGAAATAGCCTATGGAACCTTGGATTCAGGCTCAACCAAAGAATTTTTTAGAGTAAGTAGTCTGGCTTATGGCAGCTTTGTTAAACCTGTATCACAATTTTCCTAAATAATAAATGCCTCATAATCAAGACCCTGAGTCTGCAAGCACTTCTGCATAGGCTGAACTTTGCTTCTGTTAGTAGTTCCACTGACATCAGTATGTAGTATCAGAAGCTTAGAGCAGCAGGGTTAGGTATCTGGGGCAATTTGAGTAGAGAGGCAGCTCCCCTCCAAAAATCCAATATTCCAAGAAGAGTTTTGGCTACCCAGTTTCAGAAGCTGAGCACGCGGTGCAGCAATATAATGGCCAACATAACATTTAAAATAAGACCCTTGGAGCAGTGACTTTGAGTGTGTCACATTGCCAGCAGTCAATAAATAATCATTAGAACTTCCAATTTTGGCCTGTCTTTGCCATAATTAAACAGCGGGATGGGAAGCATGCTTTTGCATTTTTATACGATAAATTGCATGCTGGAAATATTCAGTATTGTACAGAAATCTGCTCCCCCCCCCCATTTAATAAAACAGTGCTTATGTTTGTGGACCGGGGCTGGAGATTGGATGTGGTGAAAAATAATTTTCAGGATTTTTCACGGGTAAATATCTGTTAAAACTGGAAATCCAGGGCAAGATCTTCCACTGATGTAAATCAGCCCAGGCTCTGGCTTCAAAAGTACATATCTGCATTAGCAGCCTACCATTTAATCACTATAGTCACTGCTGTCCATGACCAGAAGAATTTGGGAGATTGGATCATTTTTCCAGGTTAAGGGGCTGAGGGCCAAACCCCTACTCCTGCAATCTCACCAGAGTAAGGTCAGAGGATCAGACCGCATGTGCTGTATGAGTGGCATATGCTAATAATTGAGTGGAGAATAATGGCTGTATTGTTGTGTTGGTAACAATTAGCTTGAGGAGCTCCTCCATTTTAAGGTCAGTGTCAGACATCAGGTATTTGGCAGGAATCCCAGGTGGCCAGGAATCAATTGTTGAAAGAAATGGGAGGTGCCTTCCTGGCCATGAGCTGAATAGCACGGGCTCAGTGGAAGCCAAAAAAACCTCAAACGCCTGTAAACCAGATTTTGTATGTTTAAAAAAGTTATGACTTTAAAGCCCCTTCTGGACTTTCCAGGCCAAATGGCTCTGCAGTGCCTAGAAAGATCAGACATTAAGGCTGTGACGTTTTTATATGTAGAAAAGCTTTCAATGGTGCAAAACTGAGTATTGCCCATATTGGGCAGATAGCAGTTTGAGGGAAACAGGAGAAGAACCTTTCTCTTGTAGGTTTATTAAAAACTGATGGCTGCTTGAAGCTGCTCAGAGGGTTGGAATGTATCAGTGATCAGAGAGTAGGTAAAGCTTTCAAAGAGGCATGTATTAAATTGCCTAGGGAGGTTGTGGAATCTCCGTCTCTGGAGATATTTAAGAGTAGGTTAGATAAATGTCTATCAGGGATGGTCTAGACAGTATTTGGTCCTGCCATGCGGGCAGGGGACTGGACTCGATGACCTCTCGAGGTCCCTTCCAGTCCTAGAATCTATGAATCTATGAATCTATGAATTACATGCTCTGCAGTTTATTCTCTGGCTATCCTCCACATGTGTGTATGTGTACAAACATACACACACACACCCCAAAACATAAATATTATATATATACACACAATAGTTCCATTTAAAATATTTCGATTTACCACTGATGGTATCAGATACTACCGTTGCACCCTATTTCATGCATTAAAACATTACAGTGTTGACTCCTCTACCACTATTGATAAATGCTGACCATTTTAATGGTGACCTGAGTGTGTAACATTTTGTACAAACCTTTCACCATATACACATATAGACACCATCTGTATAGAGAGAAAAAGTGTTTATGTTTCTGGCAGAAAAGCCGGCCTAGTATTAGAAATCTTTGATGCTATTTACAGGCACCTCACTTTTCCTACAGGAAAATTCTGCATCTGAATAGCTTGCACCCATGAATATAGAAAAAGGAATTGTTAGGGAGAGTTCTTTATTTTCTTAATAGTCTGATGTAACGTGGGGTTACATGTCAGAGCAAGATCAAAGGAGCAAGTGGGGGTTTTTTTTGAAAGGATACAAAGTGTAGTAAAAGTATGAATACTTTATTGTGCTCATAAGAGTCTTGGGATGTTCTCTGACACTCTCCTCAAGCTAGGGGAAAGCAGGGTTCTAAATGAGGATGAGCTATAAAGAGCTGCCGGCTCTGTGTCAAGGCATGAAGAAAAAAATGGGGAGGGAGGAGAGCAGAGCACCGGCAACAGGGGCAGCAAGCACGAAATTCTGCTTTATGCTAACAAGGAGGACAAAAGGGGGAACTGGTGGCACAGAAACTGGGCCCGCTCAGTCCTTTGTATGCACTGTGAGTGGCATTAACCAATGCTTGTCTACATTTTACTTTCCTGGAGAGCTCTGCATTATTTCAGTTGTATTATTAACTTCCAGAGAATAACCAATTTGTGTGTCATGCTGGAGCATGGAACTGATTGTACCCAGTCTTCTTCCATTGATTTGAGAAGGAGAAAAAGAGTATGTCTTTATGTGAACACACACCTTTAATAAATATTTCATTATACGATCTCTGTTAGCTCCCTAACTTAATAATAATGTTGGCTTAAAACTCAGAATAACTCTTCAAGAAGTTTGCAGTTTCCGAATGCCTGCTTCATAGATTATATTCACTCTGTGCTTTGGGCTTTGTCTACACTAGGACATTACAGCATTTTTGTCAGCACTGCTGGGAGTGACAGAGGAAGCAGGAGTGTAAGCTGGCCACAGGTTACAATGGCAAAAGTGCCTGTGCCCTATCTCGCCCTCGCCACATTAGTGCTTCCCCTTTTGTAACCACCAGCAGAGCTGCACCGGTGATAGCCAGGAGTGGGGAAAGTGCTAACAATTCCCACTGTAGATGCATGCATAGAGAGAGGGGGAGGGTAAAAGACTTCGCAGCATTGGACCAGGAAGGAAATAGTCTTAAGACCCATGACAGAAGCGTGCATGTGATGGGGTAGTTCTCTTTTCTAAGACACAAAGCTAAACATTTCTCCAAACACTCCTCTCAAAGTAGACTTTACTGGCTGGTGAATGGAGCCAGATGAGCAGTACTGGGAGGGGGGGGGGAAGCCTGGTATTTTTCTCTCTAATGGAAGTTTCATCTGCCCAATATCTTAGCTGCCTTTAAGGGTGAGCTGTGTCCACAGCCCATTCAGTCCTTGGCCTCTTTGCTGAGACGATTGGCAAGGTTTCCAGTGAGTATTACTTATGTTGGTGTTTTTTGTAACATGGACATTTATGCAGTAGGAACTGGACTGAGGCCAACGACTCATTCCACATGAACAGATGGTAACAACTTTCATCCCCTTCCGCTCTGGGCAGGTTCCAGCCAGGGACCTATTCTATATCGTTGACTATTTCCCCACCCATTGCAATGCCTTCCAGCTAGACACCATCGACGGTTGTAGATCAAAGTGAACTGTAACATCCCTTTTTTCAAATAAGCCTGCTGAATGCTGTCAATCTGACATTTATTTGAAAGTTATCACAGCAGGCCATATTTACCATCTTAACTAATTGGTGAGCTGCTGTTTAAGGATATTCATTACCGCAGAATATCTGACAACCAAAGGAAATGTGTGTTTTTGATGATAGTTGCTTATTTCTGATCAGAAACGTTTTACAATTTTGCAACAATTAGCTTATGAAGGCATCATTTAAATGGCAATCAATGGATTTCATCAATTCCCATCATGATCTCAAAGGGCCTTCATTCCTATTGTAAGGGAAAATGAAAGGAAAATCTCTCCTTGGAGATTTATTAACATAAAGACTCACATTAAAGACTCAAAAATGTTTCTATCTTTCTCTAGAAAAAACTGCTAACCTGGAAAGCAATTTCAGAAATGTAACTTCCTTCCTTTATGGGTTTTATATGTTAGAACCAACAATTTCTAATCCATTCAATTAAAGTTTCAATAAATATGACCAGCACGTCAAATCAATATGGTGTAATTAATCTACATTCAGCACTAAAAATGTCTAATATCCCATTCTAATTGGTTTCAGAATTCCAATATGCATATATTCCAAAGAGATGACCTTTACAACCAATTAGTAATTCTCCTGTAAATGGGGCCGTATTGAAACTTCAGTAGAAGAGGAAGTACACATTTCTAGACATTTACAAGCGTAACTTGCTCTTGAATTCGGATGGCTCCTTTTCATTGATCACATGTGACAGCATTAAGGGGCTTAGCAATAGGGTTCTGCAAAACAACATGTATCGTTTAATAAGTTGTTGATAGGCTGACTAGTTAGATTTTATTGAAAATATTTGAAATGGCATAAAGGCGTCACTGCTTTTGTGCAATGTGGTGCTTTACAGAAGAACATACTGCTGTATGGGACATTTAGAATGATCTTGTCATCTTGCGTTTCCTCCTTTTTATAGAGAAACTGAAGGCATCTCATAATCAGACCGCTAAAACTATGTTAAAGTAACGTTTGGGAGGGAACTGGCTGGCTCAAAGGATTGGTAGTGGGCCACAGAATGTTTCATTTCCAGACCACTGGTTTGAATCCAATCAAGGAAACTAGTGAAGAAAAAGAAGTGTTATCATCTGATGGCTATTTGTTGCCCTATGTGAAATGACTTGCTGCTCTGCATCCTGTTCCTAATTGCCTATCACAAATGACACTAATTGTCAGCTTTGTTAGATGCTTCGGCTGACAAGCCAAGGATCAAGTGGACATGGTGGCTGAGCTGCCCCCTCGCTCCTACCATTGGTCCTGGATATTTGTTAGCTGTCGTACAGGGAGGCTGACATTTGTCATTGCGACTGCCTGTGCTGTATCTTGGCTGGGAAGAGTGCGAGCCTCAAGGCCTTTGGAAGTCAAACAGACCAGCCAACACCTCTTCACTTAAACCTGAAATACCTTGAATGTTATTTTTGTTTTAAAAGAAAAGAATGATTCGTATTGGCAAAAG